CAGCCAATTTTGAAAGAGATGCATCTTAGCTCTGGAAACTGTTATTGAATATGTCGATGCTGTTGTAATGAAATGCTTCTTCTAATTATGTGGTTATTAAATAAATAATTTTTAAAATTTTAAAAAATAAAAATAAAGTGGAGTTTTATCCAAGACTCTCATTACATGTTGTTCCACACATTTACAAAACAGCAATTAAACAAACAATAGAGCTTTAAGAGTTCTATACAAAATATAGTAATAATTTTTGGCACTCGAATTATTCTGTTTCAGAGTACATGCTGGCTGAACACAATGGTCAATGTGAATAACATGACAACGTTCAAAAGCATAAACTAGCTTCTTCCAGAAATCAACAGACACATTTCCCCAAACAATTTATGAAATGAATAATTAACATTTTAAATTATTGTATAAGTATGTATAGATGTTTTTAGATATTAACAGAAATGAGAAAAGTAAAGGAGAGAATGCACTAAAGGGTAAATAATAATTTCTGAATTTTCAACAAACTGCCTAGTTCATGTCTTGCAAAGGCTCATGAGCATCACTGTCAAGTCTTTTAAAAAAAAAAATTCATGAAAGCATGTTCTAGAAATGTGTCCAGATTCCTCTATTCTGATCACTCCACCAAAAAATAATGGTTCAGTGACATTAGTGGATGCTTATATAGGACACTGGTAGCTGTCCTTGGAATATCTTCAGATCTGTCTGTTAGTTAGCCCCATGTCCTAAATCTCAGCTCTGTTCCTAACCCCCATTGAGTGTGTGATCCCATCAATAACTAAAACATCAAGATAAAGTTGCTTGACAATCACTAGGTCCAGAACAGTACTAAAAGTAGGCTGTTCTACCCATAAAAAACTTAGTGTTCCCCCACCTTTCTGGACTAGACATCTCCAGGTGAGGCTCAACTGGATACCCAAGTATGTGTCTTTGTAAGAATACTCCCCCAAAAGCTGGGACTTCACTAGCCTGGGCCTTCACTCATAGCAAGTGTGCCAAGCAACATGGATGCATCAGGAACATGTGCTTCTCGCCTGCAGGCCAGCTGACAATGCTTACAAGCCTGCCCACCACACCCTCACAGGTTAAGTCAGGTTGGAAATTATCTTTCCCATCTTGTAGGTTGAGGTGAGTGACCCAGAATAAAAACTACAATTCAACCATCCTCCATGTAGCCCATTTCTGAGCTGCAAAAGGTCAGTGTGAACTGGCCTCTTTAATATCAGTTCTCTCCCTTGAATAATATACAAAATCCTTCTGTAAAAACTAGGCATTGGTTTCTTTTGATAAATTGTCTACAAATTATATTCTGCACACCTTCTTAATCATCTAAAAGCTAACCTACAAGAGTTTTCTTTCTTGAAATAAAAATTTCAAATGATGAAAGATAATTTCAAACATAGTCTTAATATATACATTTCCCACTACTGTAATCTTCCTTTAAATTATGCAGAACTGCAAATAAAAATCAAGTTGCTACACATTTGATAACATATAGTTTTATATACATGGTATCTTCTGCCTTGCTTAGCACACAACCAAGCTGGCTGACTAAAATATATCTTAAAACTTAAGAATTTCAGTTAAAAGAGGTAAAATCTATACATATTTTTGACCAAAAAACTCTAATCTCAAAGATACTAACATCTCATCTTCTCCTCAGATGAGAACTTGTTTCCTAGTCTTAGAAGCATATTCCAGCTCAGTTATTTTCATAATTATTCCTTTCTACACGTGCAATTCATTATGTCAGAGTGTTAATAGCTATTTGTTTAAAGGTGGGCATAAGAAATGGAACTCTGAACCCTGTTTAAAAATGCAATTAGTCTACTGTCCGATCTAAATGCTTTTTCCCCCAAAGGGAAATTCTGTTCCTTACCAGTCTATAATTATAATGAACCTGCACTTCTCTCCTTTAAGCAGTGGTCTTAGTAAATTAGTAAAAGTGCCAGCTTTCAGGATCTTCACTTAAACAGAAAAGGAGAAGGCAGCAAATGAGGAAAATAAGGAAAACCAAGCACCTGTTTCTCTCCACCTGAATTTCCAAAGGTGTGGCGGAGGCCATTCTGAATGACATTTGAGATCCCCTCCATGCTGAAGCGCTTTAGGCAGCGACAAACGGCCCCGGAAGAAAAGGACAGAGAAAGAAGTTCAGAGACTATTAGTAAGAATGAACTATTAGTCCTCTGCCTAACAGACAAGCAGTTAGAAAATGCCACAGCTACCCATCACATAAAGCAGACAAATCATGCTGTTTTAAAACTGCTTCTGTTTCTACTCCCAGTCAAACGCAGAAGCACCCGCTGGTAGGCCATTATATTCGAGAAGCTTTTTCCTCATGTAACTAATAGTTTTGTCCCAATTTGTTGTCAATGCTGCCAGCTATACACATACTTGTTTTAAACGAAATTTATCACATAATTTTCAAGATTCTGTTTGAATACTGTTTACCTACATTTTATCAAAAGTCTGAAAACTTAATACTTAGCAACATGCCTATTTTGAGCTTAAGATTGTCTTTCCGCCATCAGTTTGGTGATGGAGTGAACATTTGCAAATGAATATGCTACTACTTGGCGAGCTGGTTGGTGCTCCAAACTCACTCTCTGGGTACCTACCCCTGCCTTCGTGCAGAAGAAGCACTGGACAATGGCATGTGCCACCTGGAGAGCAAAGTGGATGCCACAGCCTCCCAAAGCTTTTGCCAAGACTGCCCAGTCTGCTTCTAGAAAACAAGTCTAGCTTACTTCTCCCAGCAACCTCCAAGACTTCCTAGAATTCACTGCACTAAAATGAGATGCTTTTTCCCTCAATGGCTTCTGTAGACCTGTAACCAGTCTACAATGCCACAGGCATGGTGAGGAGAGCAGTGGCACCACTCTGGCAGCTGAGTTAGAGGCAGTGGAGAAATTCTTACAGCATGACTAATGAAGGGGAAAGGCTCCTGAAAAGGAAGTTACAATCTGATTCACCGGATGGAGTCTTTCCCTGGAATTTTAGGGGAAAGTTGAACTAGTAATACACAGAGGAGGTAAACTTAAAGAAAATTTTCCAGGCCCCAAGGAAACCACAGCAGTGGTCTCTACCCACAAAACAAAGTATGATAGTCCAAGGGATCTCAAACTGTAGCTCAGGGACACCCCCCATTCCACCCAGGAACCTCTGAAATTCTCTTAGGGGTGCATGAGCTCAAAGTCATTAATACTACTATGCTATAAACTGTCCTTTTATATTTATTGTGTGTGTTCGTCATGCATAATGCCGGAATTCATACAGACAGCTGCTTCAAGTACACTGCATTCCGTGGCCATATTCGCCCCTCAATTTGCTGTCTGTCATGACTCGCAGTGTAAGATTCCAAAGCCAGACTGAATACAGAAGCTGAGTTGAGACTCTGGCATCCTTCAGCTAAGCCAGACACCAACAAGACTGACAACATGTACACCAATGGCACTTTTCTCACCAAAATCTTTAAAGTTATTTTCCATAAAAATTTACCATTTATATAAAAATTAATCATTTACTTTTGGTACTTTTAATGAATTAATTTTTATCAGTCTTAATCTCTAATACAGCAAATATTGATCAATATACCATATATGAAGTAAAGCCCTCAGAGGCTCTCAACACACTAAGAGTATGAAGAAGTCCTAATTAACAAGTAGCTGAGAGATGGAGACTCCCCAAGGCATCCGACCACCTGCCTCTGGCTCAGTCACTCGATTCAATGGTATTATTGGAAACCTGAGCCCCATATTTTTAAAAATATTTTATTTATTATTTTTATTTTATGTGTATGAGTGTTATGCTTGCTAGTAAGTAAGTGCACCATGTTGTGCAATGCCCGCGGAGGACAGAAGAGGCTGTTGGATCCCCTGGAACTGGAGTTACAGACAGTTGTTAGCTGCCATGTGGGTGCTGTGATTCGAACCCAGGTCTTCCGCAAGAACAGTCAGTTCTTAACCACTGAGCCATCTCTCCAGCCCTGTCATCCTTCTACCCCATCTTCCCCAAACCCAGATCCACACTGGTTTTCTTTCAGCAAGAATCAAGTATCTGGTCAAAATACCACAGTGGCTCTTCCCAGTACTGAGAACACTGAGAACAGAATATTACCTTTGATGGAAGAGGGTGGCTGTACAAGAAAAACCTACTTACAACTATTTACAACTAGTTTTGTAGGCTCTTCATATGCCATCATATAATTTTTTGTGTTTTTTTTTTTTTTTTTTTTTTTTTTAGGGTTTCCCTTCCCCCCCCAAGCGACCCTGGAAATTGGTATGTAGACCAGGCAGGCCCTGAACTAACAGAGATCTGCCTGCCTCTGCCTCCCAAGTGCTGGGATCAAAGGCATGCATCACCACACCTGGCAACTTTTTTACGCTTTTAAAAATAGATTATCCAAAGAGATGACATCAAGGGCTTCAGAATCACCAATAAACATGATAGGAAATGATTTTCAAATAAACAAGTCAGTTCATTTTTTGGAGACAGAGTCTCACTATATAGCTCTGGTTAGCCTGGAACTCACTATGTAGACCAGGCTGGCTCCAAACTCACAGAGATCCACCTGCCTCTGCCTCTTAAGTGGAGGGATTAAAAGCACGAACCACCACGCCTGGCAAGTGCACTCATTTTCAAATACTCTATCAAATACATTTCCTTTGAAAAGCAACAGTATATTACCTGGTTCTGTTATCTATGGCAATCCTAAAGCTAGACACAAACTCAGAAAACTTCAAGCAGGATAAAGAATTAGAACTCATATATGGGAAAACTTACAATATGTTTTTTATTTGGAGAGTACAGCCCAAAAACATTTGCTTTATTTTCCCAGTCAAAATCCCAATTACAATCATGGCAAGAGAGTCAGAGATACAGAGACAGAGATGGGGGTAGAATGCAAATTTGTAAACTCATGCATATGCAATCTTGTTTTTCCTAATTAAATGTACAGCTCTGGACACTGCTGCACCATTTCAACTAGGAGAAACCTGGCTGCTTGTGAGAGATGATGTTCATGCCCTCAAAATGTTAGACATAGTAGAAAGAAAGGAAAATGCAACCATGGGAAGCTGGAACAACTTGGAAAAACACACAGCTACTCATGCTAGAGAAAGCCGCTAGAATGCAAGGCTTTCAACAAATCTCTGCTGCAGCTGATCTGCAGCTGCAGCCAAGGGCCCCTAGCTCCTGACCATTTCCCAGTCAACCAATGAGCCAGGGAAGCAATGTGGGTGGCAGCCAGCAAGGCTCTACTGCCCCTTGCACCACTGAAAAACTATTTAACTAGAAAGTCAGAAGATTCTGGGGAAGAGAGGTGGAGGATGAGAGAAAACAACCCAGAAACCAACTAACAGACACAGCTTAGAACACTCCACCACCCAGTGCCCCAGCTACTATGATCCCCTTCCTCCCTGGAAACTAGCAGACACAATTCTCCATCTTCACTGTACTCTCAGCCTCTTTTCTATTGGCTTCCTTGGAGACGAATTTAAATTCTCAAACCCTCAACCTAATTACACTGGACTTTCCTTCAACAGCTCTCTTCAGTGTCATTTCTTTGACACTCAAGTCCACAGACACTTTACATCTCTAAGATAATCCAGGAATTTCCCCTCCACACCTCCCTTCAACACCACATTCTGAGGTATCCTCTTATCCCTGCCCACTGTTCCCCAGGATCCCATCCCACTTTTTCTTATATATCCTCTCCAGACACTTTTTACCTCAATGATCCTTTAGCTCCTCTTCTCTGAGATCAGCAAAGCACAATTATCACATTGTACTTATGTTTTTTTAAACTTTACACTGTGTCTGTCTGTCTGTTTCTGAGGAAGGATCTTTCTGTATCGTACAGGCTAACCTCAAATTCCTGGGCTCAAGCCATTCTCCTCCCTCAGTCTTTGAACAGCTGGGACAACAGGCACACAGTCACTGTGCCCAGTCATTCAAGATATTTTTAATGGGAGATACGGTCACAAGATCTAAAGAAAGGCAGAAAAAAGAGGAGAAAGCTTAAATAGGTCAATTTTTCATAAACCCAATTCAGTTCTCAAAATCTTTACGGACAGAAACAAGACAGAAACGAGGTCAGATCAGACACATTTTATGTGTTTCAAAAAGCACAACCTTGTCCTCAGCACACAGAAGGACCTGATGGATGGTTTAAACACAAAGCTCTACTACACTGACAAATGACACTGGTGAAATCCTTGCAGATTTTCATATGATTCCAGGAATCACGCCCTAATCAAAAAGTATCTGGAATCAGAAAAATGTTCGAAGTCAACTTGGGAAGAAAAGGACTAGACTAGAATCGGAGATCTGGGTTCACTCCCAGCTCCTCCGCCACTGTGTGACATGAACACTGACTGTCACTCACCTACTGAGGCCTGTGGCTCATCTTGAAGGAGGTGATTAAGTAATATTATGTTAAAGACTTCTGACTTGTATATGCTATGAATGTATGAATTACCTCAACCAAGAAGTATTCCTTTTTTGGAAGGCAAATCAAATCAAAGCCATGCATACCTAACAGTAAGACCACACATCAGACGAGGCTGGTAAGTGCTGCAGAAGGACAGAGCTGCAGAGCAGGAGCCTTCGGGGGCCCATACCCATAGCTTTGTCTTCTGACGGGAGAGAGATAGGTCTTGTTCATCTGTCACAGTGACTTACACACATTCAAGCTGTGACACCCCTAACATCACAACCCAAGAGCCTCAGAGCCTGGAACCTTTTTACCATATCATAAGGCCTCTAGACTTCTTACAGGAAAGAGGGGGAAAAAGTCAAAAGGAAAAACCTCATCTAATTGTGAAGAGAGAACACCAGCTTAGAAGACAGGACATGGAGGTACTGATCAAAAGCACAAACAGTGGAGTTCTGGAAATTTCCACTAAAGATTCTAGGCCCGGAACTCAACCTGAGATTAATAAAGTCAGGCAAAATAATCTTAATGATATGATTTGTAAAACAGTGGAGCAACTACAAACTAAACTCCCAGGTTAGTAAAGAGTAGCAAGCAAAAGATCAACAAGAAAGAAGGGTAAAAGAATAGCTGGGCAAAGGAAGCAGGAGGAGAGCCCCGCAGACACGG